GTTAAATCTCAAAAATAAAAAACATACGATTGTTCGGAATGGAAAGTTATATTGATGTAGCAAGTTTCATGTCCATCCGAAATATATTGAAAAAGTTTATATCAGATGGCCGATTTTTGGGAAGAGCTGACCCGGCGTGTATATTTTTCAAGCTTTCCCGGTGTAGATACACACTCAGAGTAACATCACAAACATAATGCACCTATCATTGTTTTCCCCCTGAGGGTGGAGGGGGGTGCCGGCGACCCAGGGGACTTTGACCACACTTTGAAGCCCCAGTGAGGGGAATTTGACCTAGCATCAACTCCCAGAGTCGGGAAATTTTGAAATCCCCATCTTGAAAGTTTGCGCAGTTTTGACATTGAAAGGCCTGGTAACAATTATGGCGGAGTAGCACGATCAAGTTTCATCGAAAAAGGTATTTTATAGCCTTTTATACACAGTGTCTCAATTTTTATTAAGTTTAAACCAGTATAGACTGTATGTTCGCATTGGAAAAGATATGTGTGCCTTGTTATCTTAGGAATATAGTGGGGAATTTTGACAGCCGTTCCTTGCCCAACAGTGGGGATTTTGACAACAAAATTTAAAAAATGTCAAAATTTCCCTGGGTTGCCCCCCCCCCCCCTCAGGGGGGAAACATTGATAGGTGCATAATACAATTTCGCTTGGCTTTCAAAGACAAAGGACATAAATCGCTAGAATACTGTTTTTTATGGTAATACTGTACACTTGACATCCGTAATTAGTACGATTTGAATCGAACGGTGGTATTTTTATCCTTATTGCGCCATTAGGCATTACAAATACACTATGATATGATGATCGCAAACCTGTAGACGCTCAGAAATGTCAAGATTGTATGTGATAAACTCTTTTCTTATTATGAAATTTCACTCGCCCCAGGTTTTGAAGTGAAGCAGCGCAAATTATTAAGTACGGCTCATGAAAAGCACGCCCCCGTCTAAATCAAAATTGGAAGTACACCTATTTTACTCGAGTAAAATATGAATTAAGTTCGGCTCATGAAAAGCACGGCCTCTAAACCGGGCCTTACATATTGTAGTTGAATAGCCTATATACTTGCAGACGAAATTAATTTCAAGAAAGATTCGGACAGACAGGAATACAACCACCTGGAAAATACAAGGAGAGCTTCGACATTTCGAGCGAGGGCCATTTATCGAGGAGTTATGATTACTCTGCATTTTTCAGGCATTTTTCATTTTTTATCGGCGCTAATACATTACCTACACTGCATGCCACAGAAAATAAATCAATTTTACACTGTGGTAAGCTTGTACTGTACATCAGTGTTGCGCTGATGTATGAAAGTTTGCAACTTGTACATTAAGTAATAAATCGTCTAAACGGCTAAATGTAGCTGGAAAGTCAATTTTTTTATGTTAAAAGTCAACATAAAGAAAAAAAGACGGCGCGAACTGCATACTATTTATATTCACTTTCGTTCAAATGTAATAACGACTTATTGACCGAGCTTGAGGTCTGTACTGTGAAATATCAGACCATAGTTAATATAGAAGACCGGGTTTGGAAGGCCGGCAAACTTTAAAGCAACACGTGATCAAATGGGATACCATGTTACAAAGTACGTCACGTGACAGCTTATAGTGCATTCGAGCTGCAATTCATAGTAGAAACTTATAGAAAATAGAGGGATCTTTGTCTAAAATCACCATTTTCTCGTCTCATACGAGGTCTACGGAGCCATGCGGCATTGAATACATGGAGATGGACGAAGAGAGTTCTTTGCCATTTTATGAAGGCAATGGAGCCTATAGTTCGGGTTTTGAAGACGATTTTGAGCAAACTCTTGCTAATGCTTGATATGGACTTCGAGGTGGTGATGATCGAGGTTCAAAATTCTCATGAAGAGGTGAGTTAAATATCAAAATAACTTATAAAAGTAAGCCGTGCCTTTTCAATAACATCACCTATAATTTAACTTGAATCTAGGTTGAAGGAAATAAGCAATTCCCTTGCGACTTTTGTGAGAAAATTTGCAAGTCAAAGGGTGGTCTAACAAAACATCAACATCCTTCTGAAGCTTTATATTATAAATTAAAAGAAAGAAGAGCAAAGAAAACTTTCTAAAGGAGTTTTATGGCAATACAAACGCTCATTGGCAACAATATTTTGATCCTTATCCTGACAAGATTGAGCAACCATTTGACTCTGAGGTAATTGTTTTCTGAGTTTTAGTTTAATATATTTATCAGTTTGACCTAGCTAGCTAGATGGTGTATGTCTGGAGGTAGTGTATTTCAATAAGGTCTATAAATTGTATAATATATAATACTGGTCAAACCTGTATAAAGTTCCCTCAAATTATGTAATAATTTTAAAATACAACTACCCTGTACCCACAACCATCTTGGTTTCCAAAACGTAATGGACCAGGGTAATACCCCTGGGTAGAAATATAGTAGCTCAATTTACCCAGTGTATTAGCATTTATTGTGTTTTTATTAACTTATTTTAGGAAGAAGTTTCTGTATCATCACAAGAGCTTGGCCATTGACCTATTTGGCTGGTCATGAACTCATGATAAGATCTTTGTATCGAAAAAGCAAAAATTGTTCCAGGTGGCACTCCCAGAGAAGCAAAGAAATTCAAGCCTCGATGTATTCAATGCGAACTGCAACAGAGGACAATGAGTACATTTAATCGTTGTGGTGGCCTTTGGTCACCTCATTTATGGCTTGTAAGTGTAATGGAAGTTAGTGAGTTAGTTTTTAGTAAGCACACAAATAAAGACAAGGTCACTTGTTTCCCAGTAGACAAAATAGTGAATGAAGTATTGGCTTCTTCCCTTGTGAAAAACTTGTGGTGCAATATTATTGCAAATTATGATATGGAAATCTCTAAAGAATGTCAGTTCCTGTGTTTAGAAAATATTGTAAAGTTATATGTTACTGTTAGATGTTTTCATTTGCCAAATATACTGTAAATAATGTGTGACTAGTGAAGTGATGTATTAATCAATATTAAATGTATTCCTTGAACCCTTTTGCCACCAAAGAAGTACATTAGTTTTTTTAAGATCACGTGTCACCAAATGTCCAGCTTAAATATAATCTAGGGTATTGAAAAACCATAACCAGTCACTGTCACCACTGTGCTGTCACACATGGTATGTGACACATTTGAAGTGCATGATCACATGATCTACTGAAATCTAGCAGGTTTCTAATTAGCAATCCAACCTGAGGTTTATAAATATTTGATGTTTGGATGATTTTTATAGTTTAATTAATTTTATGAGATGTATTTTGTATGATTGTCGTAAGTAAAGGAGTCCAATATAGTTAATTAAAAATCTGCTAAATTTTATGAGATTTTAGCACGTCATGTGACAAGCACCTACCAGGGTCTTTTCTCCCCAAAAGAAAAGATCCTGGATACAAGGTTGGTCGAGACATGCATTGTTACTAAAATATTTATTGCAACTGAATGCTAAATGTAAATATTTTTTAGTAGGTTTTAATTGCAAATATTTATATAGTGATGAAAAAATATTTACACTAATTAACTACTACATTTCAGTTTAATTAATTAAAGGGTATTATTATGGAGTAAATCTAGCATTATTTGAAAGAGATACACTTAAATACTGATTGGATAGGAATGAGTATTTAACACTCCTTGTGAAGTGCTACATCACCTTTCACTGTGGTCAGCTTATAAGCAATCCTCCCCAAGCTAACTGATTCAGGGACAAATATTGCTGTTTAGCCAATCATAATGAAGCGCAATCTTACTAATATACTGTAGCACTTCATGGGAGTGGTAATAGACCTTAAAAGTGCTTATATCACACAATTTTGAATCAATAAAAACATTAGGTATATTTTGTCCTGCATGTTTCCCACATTGCATTGCAATTTATTGTTTAGCACTGATATGACTTACTTAACCCATTCAGTAACATTGTGCCATGATGGGCCCTACTTTACTCTGTCTAATGCCAGACTATTTTACTCTGTTTAACACCAGACAATTTTATTTGTCAAGGGTAGAGTGTTGGTGTTTAATGGGTTAAGCACTTCTAAGGTACTGTTAATTTTGAAAATTCTTAACAAGGTAAACTGTTAGATCATTTTTGTGGCATGAAGTACATATTGGTGGCAGCACTAAATTGCTTCAAAGTTATATCATGCATAGCTAGATCAAGCAAAATTATAATGAGCTTTAGCTCATTTGTTTTAACAGCATGGAAATTCTCTAAATTTAACCCTTTAAGTGGCAATGTACCCAGATGCATCCTACTTTATTATTTTACTCTGTCTATTACAGTAATGCCAGATGATTTTACTCGTAGCACTGTGCACAATACAATAGTACCTCCATAAGAAATGTTCAATATGTCTACAGACTTCAAGAGTTCTCGCAAAATGATCAATATTTTGCATTACTTGTTAACTATTGTTCTCATAACATGTTCAAGATCACTATTTCTTAATTGCTTTATGTTCTTCTCTTTGGGCAATGACTCCTCACTGACATTACACATTTACACCACTTGCTTCGCTTTAATACCAGAATGCCGTCCAGAATTGAAACATTTCCTTGAATGGTTGTCAGCTGCTGTTGGGTTTTACAGTAAAATATCATTCCTTCTCCCTTGTGCTCGCTGGTATTAAACCGAAATACTCTTAAACATCGTATATCATCCTGGAAGAACCGTTCTGTGAGCACAAACTCAAATCCTTCGCTCAACAAAAACCTTGTCAGGGCAACAACTGAATTTACAGTCTCTTTAATTGATAGTCCAGTATTAAAAGGTTTGGGCAATCTTATTACTGCCTGGTTTTGCCTGGTAGATATAAGTTGTTCTCACGTTATTGCCTCTTTCGCACAGTTTTAACTCATTGCTTACGAAAAAAAATAAGAATACACGTACGACAATCAATGTATTTCAATCTTGGGATGTTTCTATGCTCGAAAACATGCAGCTCGCCTTTAATATCGATCTGGCGACGTAAACTTTTGTCCATATGTCGATTCTTTGTAATTATGTTTCCTAACCAAGCCTCTCGAGCTCTAGTTGATCATTCGTCTTTGCCAGACGGAATTCGAAAGATTCCGAGCCCAACATGCGTTCTGCTTGTTCCACAACCAAATATTTAGCAATTGGCTCGAGGCATTGTAAAACAATCGCCAAACCAACAGCTTTTTTCGCTTCGCATGTCATGGTATAAATTCGACACTCATTGTATAGAATCACTATGGCCATTGTTTACGATCTTGCACGCAATGCACTATATGTTCCACGTGACCGAAAATCCAACATATTTCGTCACGTGACCCAGCCTTCCAAACCCGGTCTTCTATATTAACTATGGGTATAATCAGTCGCTATGTATGTTTAATACTAGAAGTTACTATCGCAAGGAAAGTGCTGCCTCATCCCCAAGGGATCAAAGGCAGCATGCGCAATTTTCTGAATAAGGGGCTGTTTATACGATCCCGCTTTGCCAGGACTCTGAGATATGACGCGGGACGATTTCGTTGTATTGAAATAAGTCATGGTCTACAACTGACAACATTTGAGTTCTGTAACCAGCATTTGAACTTTCATTTAATTACCTAGTGATTGAAATACATCAAAATCATCCCACTTTCCATCATGTAAACAGCCCCCTAAGATGCCTGTTCAGAATGTCAGGAAAGTGTATTTTGAATACCAAAACACCTCAGTTGCACAATGTTCACAGAACAACTGAACAATCTGCTCATGGGGAGACAAAATCTATTTGTTGACATTTCTGTTTAATTAATATGTCTGCTTCAGATGACACTGTTCATGGCTAGCTTGCCACTGAATACTGTACAATATCATATATGATGTTTGTGATGTTACTCCCGAGTGTATATCCACGCCGGGCAAGCTTGAAAAATATGCCTGACCACGGTGGGAATCGAACCTATGACCTTTGGCATACTAGCCCAATGCTCTGCCAACTGAGCTACGCGGTCAGGTATGTGATATTTCGGAACTGAGTCTAGTTCCTTTGATATCAATGCAATCTAATAGTCACAAATTTTCTGTGTTGGTGTAATGTACTCAGGTGAATGATGTAATATATGAACAACGAGAGCGAGTGTTTCACCGGGATATTCAAACACGAGAAAACAATGTATGAGAACACGAGCGCGAAGCGCGAGTGTTTTCATACATTGTTTTCGAGTGTTTGGATATCCCGGTGAGACACGAGCTCAAGTTGTTTATATGGCTTCTCAAATGAATCGAGACGTAACAGAATGTTTTCGTTTGCTGATTTGAATAGAATTCTTAACCAAGCATAACGTAATTAGGAATTCTATATCAAGTAATTTTGCATGCGTAATTAAGATATTTGATGAAAACACTAGTGACTTTCATCAAGTATCCAAATGGCATCTTGTGATTAAATAGGTGATTATCATTGGCTGAATTACTCATGAATTATTAATGAATTTGAGAAGTTTGTGATGTTACTCTGCGTGTATATCCACACCGGGCAAGCTTGAAAAATTACACTTAGAGTAACATCATATATTCACCTGAGTACATAACACCAACACAGAAAATTCAATATCATATAACAATAATAATACTTGAATGAATCATTGGAGATGTAGATGTAGAATTTAATTAGCCTCCTCTGCAAGCATCGCCTTTAAATTATCGGGCAGAATTTCTTGCAGGCAAGAAACCCAAGATGCCTGCAGAGTTCATGTGGCTACTATATAACTCTTGACGTGTTCATGTGGCTACTAACTCTTGATGAAGGGCCTTCGCTCGAAACGTTGAGTTTCTGCTGGTTCTTTTCAGGTAGTAATATAACCACTCAGCACAGCAAGTCAGTCACATTGGTACCACCCACACTGGTGCAGACAGTTTTAGTATGTTCACAGAACAACTGAACAATCTGCTGATGGGGAGACAAAATCTATTTGTTGACATTTCTGTTTAATATGTCAGCTTCAGATGATGACACCGTTCATTGTATAAATGACTAAGATTGTACTCAGTCATAACAGCAAAACTATATAATAAGAAATTGTGAGCATTATCAAAAAATATTGAATACCCTGAACACATCACACATGTATGCAGCCAGGTGAATATGTGAATGTAGGTTGGTAGCCGGTAGGATACTATTTCATATTATGCTAACAAATATTAATGGACATATCTGAGAGAATATATTTTTACAGACCGTCATACCTCGTACAAAAGGCGGTTGACATGTTATATTACATGTAACTGCTGGTATTAAAGTTAGCTAATATTTGCACATAACAATCCACACTGGTCACTGGATTAACTACATGTGTTGCTATAGGAATATGAAATATCTTTACATTTATTAAAAGCATACACAACATTCCGCGTTTGTTTTTAAAACGTGGTGAAAGCACATAATTTGCTATATCTATGTACATCTAGAATGAACATTTGAACACTATAAACTCATCGCCATGCACACAAACAAATAAGAAATAAAGCTATATTCTTACCTGAATTATTCAAAATATTGTCCAATGTCGATTTGTGAAAATCCAACATGCCAGTGTATCATGCGAGCGCAATACAAAATAAATTTTGACCGTCCCCCTCGTTTAAAAAAAATTCCTGAAGCCTTAATTATTTCCCCGGAATTACGACATCTTTACAAACAGACAGACACAAATTCTCAAATCGAAATCTCGATCGACTATACATAACTCGGCCAAAGAGACTGGGCACAAGTAAACGCAGGCACGCAATACTTCATGTCAAGAATAGTGTGCTGCCTTCGGCAGCAATGATGCAATCACCCAGCCTAGTCCCAGGCTCTCTCTCTATTCGCTGCTTTGATATATTTAAATGAGTCTTAAAAGTTTTATGCCTGGGTGTGCTGTGCGGAACGCTTCA